CTCCCTCTCCCCACCTCCCCTCTCCTCCTCCTTGTCTCCTTGTCTTCCTCCCACCTTCCCTCCCTCCTCCCTCTTCGTCTTCGCAAGTTCGACTCCGTCCTGTCGTCGCTCTTTGGCATGTGGTTAGCGTTGCGTATCCTGCCGCCGCACTCGCTCACTCTCACTCTCACTCTCACTCTCACTCTCACTCTCACTCTCACTCTCACTGTCTCTCTCTCTCTCTCATCCTCACTGTCTCTCTCATCTCTCTCTCATCTCTCTCATCTCTCTCTCATCTCTCTCTCAACTCTCTCTCATCTCTCTCTCATCTCTCTCTCATCTCTCTCATCTCTCCCTCATCTCTTTCTCATCTCTCTCATATCTCTCTCATCTCTCTCTCCTCTCTCTCTCTCTCTCCTCTCTGTCTCTCGTCTTTCCGTCTCTCTTCTCTCTCTTCTCTCGCAGGAGGATCCGGGCAAAGAACCACATATAAAGGACTCTTCACCCCTGCCTCCAAAAAGAGCGCCGTGTTTTTTCCTACCTCGCTGCCCTCCACTTTCCCATTCTGGAGCGCTAGCTTTCGCCCCCCCCCTTGGCCTCAAGTAGTTACACCGCCCAGAAAGTTTCTGGCACAAGTCAGGGTTCCCGGGAGTGTTCCCGGATGCGCCATCAATGTATTTTTCCTTGCTATTTTGCACCTGTAGATGGCGCATTTATAGGGAGAGGGGGGTGCAAAAATGCAAACGCAAGAAAAAATGAGCTTGCAAAAACAAGCGAAAAAACGCGCTATAGATGGCACAATGCACATCAGTGCAAAGCCATCCAAAGCAGTCCAAACCCCACTCAAGCCCATCGGCGCCCATCCTACTCTGTCTTTTACTATTTCTCCTGCTTTTCCTTTCTCTTTCTCTTTATCTTTCTTTCTCTGCACAAGAGATTCAGCTATTGTAGTTCTACTTTCCAACTGGAGCATATAGATGGAGCGTGCAGTCAGGGGTCTCCGAGTACGAGAGTTTTTTGCTTAAATCTCGCCCTTTTTATACTGACAGCATGCCTACTGATGGCGCAACTCTACTGTGGTACTCTGGAGCTCGTAGATGGCGCAATTTGTTTTTTAAAACCATCTATTTTCAAGATGGAGTATATGTATACGATCTCAGCTGAGGGAGCTTTTTTGTTCTGTGTGTGATCAGTTGGCATTTCGGCATTCCAGGTCTTACTTGAGAATGGGGCTTGTCCAGATGCCTCTGGCCGTGAGGGGGTGCGGACTGCGACGGACGGACTGCGTGCTTTGAACACTTTGATTTGCAGGATGCTGTAGGGCTGTAGGGCTGATCAGCCTGAGCAATAAACTGCTACAAAACAGCAATCAGAACATCAGAACTTGAACGAATGTGCTTGAAATCTCATGTCTCTGGATTCCTGCCCATCTCTCCGTGCTATGTGTGTCTACATGTCTACATATTCTGCTTTGGGCAGAACATGTGCCGGGGAAGCACCGCAGGTGACACCTTTGGAGCTGATTCTTCGCAAGGAGCGTGAGGAAAGCGCTGATGCCGAGTGGCTGAGGCATCATGCTTACTTTTCTCATTGGAGCCAGAATTATTTGAAAATTTGTAGACCGTTTCATAGACTCAGCCGCCCCCCCAAATAAGGGGGTACTTTATAACAGGCACTCGAGGTTTTTGTTGGTATTCTTTGGATATTTTCTAATGTGTAGTGATTGGTTTCACATGGCGTAGGACCGCAGGACCATCCGCACTGTTAACTTTGAAGCTGTTGTGTCGGTGGGGATTGTTGAAGCTTGAAGCTCAAGCGACTGCTGCAGAGAAAGTGTGCTGTGAAGGTTGTAGCCTTCCGCTTGGAAACTAAGATGGATCTAGGAGAATCTAGGATGGTAACAAAATTGAACCAAAGCCCAGGGTGTGGAATAGTGAACAAACCATGATGAAACATAAAACACTGATGAGTTTTTTTGCATATTTGCATTGTTTTATGTTATGTCTATACATACACGTGTGTATATATATACTATATGAATATTGACCGCATTCCTGCCGTATTGTATGTACCTCGATTTTACGCGTATCTCAGTCTCAGACACTCTTGGGGAACCTACAAAATGTACGTACTGTGTATATATAATATATCATATATCAATGACCATTTTGTGCAGGAGCCACTAAGAGCCCTAGGCTTTCAAGGGGGTTCTGTTGTCAGGCAAGCTGCAGATGTGGGTGCCTCATGATTTGACCCGTTTGGGTTGATCTCCTGCAACATTGCTCTGTGGCTGCCATGTCGTCCATGGTTGTTCATTCCTTAACCATCCTTAACCACTAGTCAGTAGTTGAAGATGCACCTGCACCATACCGACCTTTGAACTTTCTGCGAATCAGGTTCTTCGCAAACACCGTGCGACACTGGAAGCAACACAGGCGCTGTGCATGTCGATGTGGCGGCCGAGCTAGGTAGTCTGTGTATAGCCTTTTTCATCCTTTTTCAATGTTTCAACTGAAGTCTTGAGGAATCCAATCCACATGGCCCGACCATGGTCCCCATATGTCCGCATATGACTCATGAACTATCATGAACCATGGACCGGCATCAGCTTTAGGAGGACCATGAGGCACGCATCATCGAGCTGCCGAAGCCCAAGAGTCGTCCTTGTGTCGCACTTTCGACCCCAACCCCTGAGATCAGATTAAGCGCAAAACTGCAGATGTGACGTGTTAAAGCGGTGTGGCAGCTGGTGTGGTGCTGTGCGCCCCCTCTCGATGAAGCTGCAAGCGCCCCCTCTCACCGTGTGCCAAACCCAACAGTCTTGGTGCGGTGTTTTGGTGTTGTGCTGTTTGGTTACTGCCCTTGGACAGCTCATGCGTTTGGATGTGGTGTACACGGTCATGGACCTAGGCATGGCAACAGGGCCTGGGCATACGTCAACCGCAAGCGAGACACCCTAAAACCATAGTAGGTTGACATCGCCATTCTTTGACTCACAAGTGCGAGCTGGAATATCTGGAATTCAGGCCAGTGTGACTGTGCACTCAGTCAACGATTGAGGCGGAAGACCTTCGGTGTGAAGATGGTAGGGGCACCAAGACTTCTTTCGGTGACTTTGCTTTATCTTAGTGTTTGAGCCACATCAAGGGCCGCCAGTGCCACTTTAGCGTGAACCCTAATTAATGCACTTTTGCTGCCGCATTTGGTATGCAATTGATTGCAATTGAACGTATCCAAGATTGCCAAAAGTTCCATAAACTTAAATCGCAGACGTCCATCGTGGAATCTTCCTTCGTTTTGTGGCGCCGGTCTTCTAATTCCAAAAGCCCTGCCGCAGAACTCATACATACATACATATATATATATATGTAGACTTGATAGAGTGTGCAACAATTTGAGTTGTCCTTACCTCATTGATCCACTTTGATTGTTGACCTTGTTTCATGATATTTGATGTGATTGTCACTTTCTGTCCTTCGAACAGTGGATTTGTCCTGGGCACTTTCAGGTGGGAGCCTTGCTGACCTTGCAGTCCCCCATGTCCTTGCCAACAGAGAGTTTGGAGGAACAGGGACGGGTGGGCTGCGAGTTAGTGCATGACAGAGCTATGTAAGACACATAGAATCCAATCAAACAATGTGACATTATACTTATATATTGTATGTATACTGTATCTACTCTTGAGTACAGATGCACAGAACCTTTTGGCATGTTTTACTCGACAGACCTCACTGTTGCTAGCAGTCCAGCTAGCGGCCGTGTTATTTTGCAGGCCTTGTATTTGCTCTTCAGGGAGTTGCCCGCAGAGGTGCCAAAACATGTGTTTCATTGGATCACTTTGAGGTATTTGCCAACTTCAATGGGTGTTTGAGAAGCTTGCTCATCGTGCTGAGCCTGTCAATTTGGTTGCCGTTGGAACTTTTTGCTCTGATTTAGGCGCCAGCCTTTCGATCAGAGAATAATTGCAAACCCAAAAATCTTTGATATATGGCTGGGGGTGGGTCAGTCCCACTGTTTGCAACTTTTGTGTTTGCTTTGTTGCGATCTATATGATTCTGCGTGTGTGGACTGGAGGTGGTGAAAGAATCTTTGGAACCACAGGCAGGCCGTTCAATGATTCAACTGGCTGTTCAGATCCTGAAATTCGTTGCGCAGCAGTATTGCAGTACATAATTAGATACGCACAGAATGCAATCGTCGCAGCGTCGCAGTTTGCAGAGAGACTGTCCTTGATCCAGACAGCTGAAGCCGGACCCCTGCGGCTTGACACAGACATCCCACACTGGAGGTCTACTGTGCTTTGGCCGCCTTACTCCAACACTTGGCCTGGCGCTTGAAGGGGGGATGCCTGGGGAAATTATTGCCATTTGAGCTTGAGGTGGACACTTTGAATTTGCACCACCACCTCTATATATTTTATATATTTTATGTTAGTTATATATATAGTTGTTTCTTTTTTAGGTTCTTATATATATATGTGTGTGTATAACATATGCTCCGATTAATCGTCTCCCTGGCACAATGACCTAGGCCTTCGTATAGCATAAGATCATACAAAGGCAATATGTGATAGGGTTGCAGGGGTGGTATGGCAGCTGGATTTGGCCTGGTGACTGTCCCTAGCAGCTTGTAAGGTGAGACAACCGACAACTCCTATGAGCAGTGGACTGCCGCAGTGTAAGGGCTCAAGACTGGGTATGTCTTGCTACAATGATTGCATGGATTGCTTAGCCACTGGAACGGCCCTTGCGACCTAGTCATTGGCAGTGGCTATGGTGGGCAGGACCTGCAAAGGGAGTGAGGGCAGTTGAACAGCGATCATTCAAGATCCCCCCTGCTGCATGAGGCTTCCCATGTACATCGTACACCAGGTGTGCAAAAGGTGTACCCGCTTTAGATGCTTCGATGCTCCTCTTTTGGTTTTGGTTGGTCCCTCATGATTCAATTCCCTTCAGCTGTGCTGACAAACATTGCACCCTGTAATTGCCATAATTTGCCATACATTGCTTGAGAAATGCTTTTGAGTGGCTCTAGCTGAGGGGTAACTGTGCAGCGTCTGATGGACCGCCTATCCTTTGTGCCATGATCAGTCCCGAAACCGAAGGGGCAGAAGTTGCACCAAATGAAATCAACCTAGGCGGCAATGATTTTGAGACGAGCCCATTGGTTTTCAATGCGATCGACTTGCCCAGGACCTGCTGGAACACACTTTTCATGTTGCATTCTTCATTGATGAATACTGTAAGCCTTGCAAGTCCTTTGTTTCTGACCTTTGAAGCAATTATGTCGCTTTCCCTGAAGGACGCGGAGATATACCCCTTGCTATTTGCTCCTCGCAGTGTCACTGATCAGTACGGCCATTTGGCGCATTGGATCAGAGACTGCAGAAGTCTCCAAACTCACAGCTTTAGACTTGCACAATGCCTGTGGGCGGAAGCTCAGTTGGTCTGCAGATCGCCACCTATGTGTCGCAGCCAAAGGGGCCTACAACGGAGCAGAGGTCACGACCCAGCCATGCGGCAGCCTGGGTTTTCAGGATGAATGGATCTTCACCAAGCGGGGGAAGAACATCACCCGAATGCGCCTGGCTACTGCTCCTCACCTGTGCATGTCACCAATGTCAGGCCCGAAAATATTCCCTGGCTCAAAGCTCCTTTTGCAGTGGTGTTCCGACACGGATCACCACCAGCATTTCTCTGAAGTCAATGGGACCATCAGATGGCAAAAGCGGGCAAACCTATGCATGGATGTTCAATATGACAAAGATGCCGCAAACACCCCGCTTCAACTGTGGCACTGTACAGGTGCCAAGGTGCAAATGTTTGACCAGTGGCCTTGCAAGGACAGGTGCTTCAGGCAGATCCACTTTACTCGACATCCAGGAATGTGCTTAACTACGGCTGGCTGGCATTTGAAGGAGCTTAATCTTCATGGCTTGATGCAATGTACAGTAGCTTCTTGTTGGTCAGCTTGAACCTAGCCTAGTGCATTGTTTTGTTAATTCATGTTCATTCTGTCATCATCTCATTGAGCAAGATCACCGTAACCCTTTGCCGCTGCGTGTTCTCTCATGTTTGAGAGATACATGACGCAGGAAGGAGTGGATCTGGGCCTCTCACCATGCCTTGAGAGCCATTGGGGAGCAAGTCAGTTCAAGTTCAGCACCTCAGGTGGGCTTCTAAACAGACCAAGGCGGCAAAGACCCACGGTTTTTTACCCCAGCTTTAGCAGATTTGTTGCATTGGCCCCGGCCCATGTTTTCGGCCCCTTTAGGTGGCAAGCTCCAGCTGGCCTTGAATCACGAACTCTGTGCAGAGGCTGATGGCTCGGGCCTGCGGATTGCCAAGTGCGCTGAGAATCACCCCAAGCAAGACTTCATGCTGAACTACTCGCTCATCGTCGGACGCGGCAGTGATCCAAGTTGCATCATGGCCAAGCCTTCGAAGGCGTTGAAGCTAGCGAAGAGCTGCAGATCTGAACCAGAGGTGGAGGCCCTAACCAGTGGCTGTGAAGAAATCATCCATCCTCACATCAAGGTGAGTGATGATGATGCAACAGGATGCCCCAGACAGATCAGGTGGTCAAGCTACCCAAGCCTTTGCATTGGCACTATGGCTTGGCATGTGGGACATGGGCAAAACATAGTCCTTTCCGCCTGTGAAGACCACAAAATGGCAGGCCCACGCCAACATTGGGTCTTCACAACTAAGGGGAAGATTCAACTGGCTTCTAGTCCAAGTTACTGTCTCGAGGTGACTAAGCAACTCTATGAAAGTTACTTTCCCATCTCTTCACAAGCAGATGGTGCGCACCTCCAACTGTCGCAATGTATTGATGGTGATGAAGCTCAGCAGTTCACAATGGGTCCTGACAACATCATACGACAGGGTGACAAGTGTGTGGACGTGGAATGGCGCATCCCATTGCCATACAGTAGGTTGGTGTTGACTGAATGTGGAGGTGAACAGCAGTTTTATCGAGATGTGTGTAAGAATGAAGAGCATGCAGTTCCTCCTCATCGGAAGGGCTCCTTCATCGTGGTCGGAGATTGGGGCTGGGACCATTTGGTGCACGGAAATGTCCCAAAGGCGACTTGCCAAGAAGCCATTGGGGCAAGGATGGCACAAATGATGGATGAGTTGGGCGACGTGAAGTTCATTATCAATGTGGGCGACTCCTTCTACCCGGATGGCTTGACCTCCAAGTCGGACCCTCGCTGGGATATACAGTGGCGAGAGAGATACCCAGGGGTAGTCCGAAGCGTTCCTTGGTACAGCGTCTACGGCAACCATGATACACATCACGATCCAGGCTGGTGCCACTCGGGAGTTGGGTCGCAGATCAATGGCAACCTTCACGACTATGGAACCTTCTACATGCCACACTACAGCTGGCATATTGAACATGACGATTTAAATGTTGAAGTGCTTGGCCTTGATTTGAACAAGTTTGTGGATGGATGGAATGCAACACGTCCAGTCAGCGAGCTTGAGCTTTCTGACTGCCAATACAGCCCATGTCCAGACGAGTGCCGTGAAAATGCTGAGCTACGAGCAGAGGAAGCCTTTAATTTGATGTCCACACGCCTCAACAAGTCGCAGAAGAGCAACCTCCTCGTTTTCTCCCACTACCCCACAGACTACCTTCAATCAGTGCCCGACTTTGTGAATCAATTGCGGCCTCATGGAAAACGAACCATCGCGTACTTCTCAGGGCATCGCCACAACACCGACCAAACCACAACACTCCGAACTGGACCACATGATTGGCTAGTTGGAGGTGGTGGCGGTTGGAGCTGTGATGGCATCGAGCAGGGCTTTGTGGTTGGCATCATCGATAATGACTTCCAATTGAAGACACTTGACATCATTGACAGCACGTGTCTTTTGGCTTTATTTTACCATGCTGATGTTGTAATTTGAGTTGCCGTTGTGATTGTGGCATAATCGCTGTACGTTTTTGTTTTCTATGATTTATATAAGCGGACTTTGGTTGAGCTGCTTCGATGTATGACTTTCTATAGTGCAAGTCGATACCCTCAGTCAAAGGTTGCACAACTCTTGACAATCTTTTGCAAGAAAGGCCCAGGTCAGTTAAATGTTGTCACCCCTCACTTTCTACCGGCCTTGTCTACTTGTCGAGGACACATCCAGTACTTGTAAATCCTTGGATGTGCTGCCCTGATTTGCCCAAAGAAAACAACATCAAGCTTCTGAAACGAATGAAGCGGCTGCGGCTGAAGCTGAAATGAGACCAGCGGCGCTCGCCAAGCGATCCTGCCGCGCAATCAATTGGCGCTGCCAGATGGCAGCGTCACGCCTGCCTAGTTGCACGGGGTTCCCACTCAACCTTGGATCCATTTGAATAATCCATGAATCCCGTGTTGAACATTGGGAGACGTGATGTCAGGTGCGTTTCGAAAGCAATAGCACCGAGGACAAGAGCAATGCCTCTGTCTGTTCGGAGAGATCCGACATTGCATCAGAAAGGTTGCTGACTTGCTCAGACGCTTACACATGCGACTCATTGATCACATTGTCGATTTTGCTGATTTTGTGTGTGTGAGTTGCTCTTGCTTTGCTGTACTGTTGCTTTTCATTTTGTGCTGGTTTCTTTGAAGCATTTTTTTGCCGGGCGTCTTTATGATTGTTTAAGTTGTTTTTAGTGGTTTTGCATTGTCATTGCTGTTGTTTTGCTTGGTTTGCAGGATCCGTGACCCCCTGACTGGAGCTGTGCTGCGTGCCTCTGGTAAGAAGGATAGCCGTAACGAGGATCGCGACGCGCTCCCTGGCGAATATAGTTTCTTCCTTGGGCCCAGGCCCACAACAAATCAGTGTGAACACATGCAGGTGCTGTCTCACCTGCATATTGTCATGATTCTCAAGCTCGGTGGATAACAATTATATATGTGATATTATGTTACGCTTGCTTTGCTGTGTGCAGTTCTATTTCGTGAATTGGGGTGCCAGGGACTTGTGGATTTTGTTGAGGATAAAATGAGCTGCTCTGGAGAGGTTTTGTGGGGTTTGCTTCTGAATCGCTGCTCAAGTCCTGAATCTCAGGAATCCTCTCAACGACTCCATCCCAGGTGAGGTGGTCCGTCGAAACGCACCGGTGCAGCATTGGTCCAGGGAAGGTGTGAGGAGGAGGTCTTTGCTTTTGGATTTGTCAGTGCAGAATGCCGAAGTGGATATTGGGAGATTCACTCCATTGGACACGTTTCATCTCCACCGGATGCCGAGGAAAAGTCCCAGAAGTCAGGGCCAAGCACAAAAGCCTTGGCTGAGACGGACATCGCAGCAGTCTTGGCCAAAGGCTCCGGAACACGGGAAAAGCTCCTTGACTGCAATGCATGTGGCACTGTGGCGGCCCTGGTGTTTTCATGCAGGCAAGGAACAAATGAGCACTGTCTAGAGTCTAGACGGTCTAGACAAGTCAATGCAGGAGCAAGAGTGTTTCAATTGGCGGATTCATTTTTCCAAGTGGAGAGCCATGAGACGCCTGTAAGTAATAACGGGATCGGGCTTGGGGGGAAGTCCGGGGAAGTCAACGGAAGTATGAGATCACAGACTTTTGCTGATGTCAGTAGTTCATGTTGGAGGAGTGTTGGAGGCTGCCTGAATGTAAGACCGAGGTGGCTTAAGAAGGCTCTGCAGCAAGTGCACGATGGTGAACTCCAAGCTGTAGACATCTACAACATATTGAAGGTGCAGACCCTGAAATGTCGCCGTTGGTTGGGTTTTGTCACGGTTTGTTCGATTTGCACTTTCTGGAGCTGCTCTCCGGCTTTTGCCTGGAGGTCCCTGACTTTGCCTCGGATCTCAAGGACAAAACTGGGCGTAGCATGTACAAGTTCTTAATGTCGCTTAGCCGCAGTTACAGGGCAAGCTGTGCATGGCTTCGCACGGTGTGACTGGCGAGCTGTGATTTGACAGAAGTCTTGGCCGTACAAGAAACCACGCAAGGAGCCACTCTTGCTTTAGCTGAGGCAGCGGGTCCAGGTCCGATCGTTTTGATGCCTATATTATTGGAATGTTCACTGCATTCTTCATGTCAGCCATTCTCGGCCCACTTTGATGTTTCTTCAGCTCAACTCATCTTGGTCACGTTTCATGCCGGCTCGCTTGGTATTGGTTCAACGGTTCTATGGCACTCAACAAGGTGCGCAAGTGAGCTTTCTTTGCCAAGCTCAGCTCATCCCATCCCAGCTACACTCAGCTCACCTCAGTTCATCTCATTTTTCCCCTCCCTTGTGCGACATGCCAAATCCATTGCATGCGCGTGAAGGGCAAGTTTGAGTTCCTTGCACTTGGCTGTACAATGCCACTTGCCAGGTGTGGGTTCGAATAGCTGCAGCTAGATGCCATTTGCATACTACTCGCCTCTTAAATCCTTGTACTGTAAACAAATTAAACGGAAGTCGTCAAACGGTGGTGGCAACTATTGTAAACGGAGACTTGGCCAGCTTTGCATTTGTGCAACTTTCGCCTGGCATTTTGTTGCAACTGGTTGAGGGCATTTTGGCTGCGACTGTGACTGTCCATCACTGAAATGCACTCAATCTCTGAAAGGTTTGGTTTGAGTTTCATTGGCGCGCTCAGGTCGAGAATCTCTGTGTTCTCCAAGGGGTGACCTTGGACGCATTGAAGATGTTGAAGCCTTCCCAGCCAAGATCCATGTGTTTGAGTTGCCGAATCGCTTAGAGCTGGAACGCCTTGCTAGCATGTGTGGCACCAGAGCTCATTGCACATCACCACGGGTTGCTGTTCAAGCAGTTTATTTACTGTATAGCGCACGCACCTTGTCCTGGCCCTGGCTAGAGTACGAGTTTAGGCAGCAGCGATTCCTCGCAAAAGAATGCAGCCTTGCACAAATGTTTGGCGGAGAAGGACAGCGGCTTTGTTCATTTCCAGTGCAGTGTGGGTCCTTTCCAGCGTGGACATGTTTAAGCTCCAGGCTCCAGTGGCACCATGTACTGATGTGTATTGGTGGTCTTTCAGTTATATATTTGTTTATCAAATTCAATATTTGCAGGAGGCCCATCCCTTGTCAATGACGACAACTCCAAGGCCAACCCAGAAGCTGCCGAGGAGATGATGGCCCCCCTCGACTACAAGGGACTTCTGTTGGCGATGGTGTTCTTGAGTCGTTTTGAGCCTGACCAACCAGTGCAATTCTTGAGCGAAATTGCAAACACACATAGACAAACACACGCGCACACACTCTGACATTGGTTTTCAGTTACACTCAGTTCCCAAGCTGAGAAGGAAGGTGAGAGAACGGAAAGGTGGCAGAGTCCGCGGAAAAGTATTGTTTAACATTGTTCACCAGTGCACTTTAGTTAACTACGATTACTGCAATTTAGACCTTGACTGAAAAAGAAGTGCTGAGTCCGTCGAACAGTATTGTTGAAAAAACGTCGAGTTAAACAATTGAAAGGCAGGTACGTCAGTGCTGGCCGGGCACTGATATCACATCCACTTGGTGCGGTCTTTGTTAGATGAGGCACACCAAGGGATCCTCATCCCCCTGCTTTAAATTAAATTGAACCCTTGGAAACAGGGTTTGGCACACACACGGTGCCGCTTCGCGGCGCACATGTGAAAGACCTGAATAGTCACCTAAAAAGCCTTAGAAACAAAAGAAAAGAAAGACAGAAAGAGCAGCGCTAAGAGGGCAAGAAAGAAAGGTAGGTGTAGAAAAGTGAATACTTAGCCCTTGACTGGGGTAGGGAAACGAGCCTCAAGAGCAACCTAAAAAGCCTGAGAGAAAGCCCAACAAACGACGAAAAGCGCAAGAAGGAAAGCGGGGGGGCAGGGAGGGGCTGTATGTCCATGTGTGTGTACATGTGTGTGTCTGAATACCTAGCACTCTAGAGTTACTGATTACTTAGCAGAGATGAATTAAGTGCGATAGCTAGGGAGCGGGACTTTAGTCTTAGACCGCCCGGGTAGGAAAGACTAGAACAGGAACAACACAGGGAAAGGCACCGACACACAAGTGTGTCGAGTACCATTTCCCTATGTTGCCCTAATTAGGTGGGGAGTAGAACTCGGCTGGGGGGGGGTTGGGAAACCTGCCTGACTGCACGACTGCAAGGGGAGTACCGTTTTATAGCCCGGCGGCTGTGGTGGTTCAACTTTTTTTTGGCCCAGCGGCCGTTGTGGCAGTTAATTCGTTGGAAGTGGAGGTGAATTCCAGTGAAGTTCCGGTGAGCGGTAGGGAGTTCCGTTAAAGATTTCCCAATGAAACAGCGCCCCAGTGACGGGGATCACACTCAGCACCCGAGTGGGACGGCTGAGCGAAACGCACTCTGACATTGGTTTTCAGTTACACTCAGTTCCCAAGCTGAGAAGGAAGGTGAGAGAACGGAAAGGTGGCAGAGTCCGCGGAAAAGTATTGTTTAACATTGTTCACCAGTGCACTTTAGTTAACTACACTGCAATTTTTAGACCTTGACTGAAAAAGAAGTGCTGAGTCCGTCGAACAGTATTGTTGAAAAACGTCGGGTTAAACAATTGAAAGGCAGGTACGTCAGTGCTGGCCGGGCACTGATATCACATCCACTTGGTGCGGTCTTTGTTAGATGAGGCACACCAAGAGATCCTCATCCCCCTGCTTTAAATTAAAATGAACCCTTGGAAACAGGGTTTGGCACACACACACACACACTTGTTCCGATGAGTAGAACCCAGGAATAGTCCCAGGAATATTCAACTGCATACTTGGATGTTGTCATGCAACATTCACAATCGAGAAGGCAACAACCTGCATTCATACACAGTAAATCGCGTCAAGCCACAATTGTGTGACATGTCATCAAAGCTGCAACGTAAGTCCAGCGGACAAGATAGGATTCGTTTATGTTCATGGGTGTTGTGGACAGATGCGGCCGGAAGTCAACAGAGCCGGCAATTGAAACATGATGCCTACACATGCATACACTTCGCTATTGTTTTATCAATTAGCTCTTGTTTGTTCTCGTTCGGATATCAAGTGCGCAGCCTGCAACTGGGCGCTTTGACCTTTCGACAATTTGTCCGCAGCATCACAAAATCACAAGAAACTCGCGACATTGAACACAAGTATCGTGTGGCTAGCATATAGCATTAGCTTGGATAAAGCCTGCAAGTACCTTTTGCCGGCCACAAAAGATACTTTTTGTCGAAGGGGAATCGGATAGGTTTGAATAATCAACACAGAGAAGACCTCCTGTGTACACTTGTGTTGCCATGTGCTTGGGGTTTGCCAATCACACTTGCACCCATATGTCCACAGGTTGATACGTGCTATTTAGGAATCATGTCATTACACAGTATACGCATTGCAAAACATTGACAGCATGTTGAGCAGCTTTAGCACAAGACACACTTTTTCATATCAGAAAGGGTGTTCTAGTCTCATAGTGATTGACTTTCTTTGTAGCTCATCAGTTGCCAATTGCCATTCCCCTACACTTGCCCAACACTGAACCAAATTCAGGATAGC